TAAGCATTCACAGATCTGATTGGTCAAAGTTCAATGTAAACTTCAACCAATTGAACATTTTCATTGTTTGAATTTATCATATTCAGTGATGAGCGCATTTTGAAATATAGTTCATGAAAAAGTTTAGGAGTGGTATTCATCATTAATAAGGGGAGACAGAATGGAAGCTGTTGAGAAGCATTTTCGTGTATAGTATAGGAAATACTCCAGCTATTGATGTTGTACCTTTAAAACAGAATGGTAAAATAGCGCATGATAAAGCCAACTATCTGAGAAAATTTAAATTGGTTACAGGATTTCATCATGAGCTGATATTGGTTAGAGAACCACTGAAAAATTTGCAGGAAGTACTGCACAACTGTTTCGTCCTAGTTTAGGGCTCCTCAGAGTACACACCCATAGCCAGGGTTCGAACCCAGGACTTTCTGGTTACAAGGGGAGCTCGTAGACCATTAAGCCACTGGGACCACATCCGTTGGCCAGTCCATGAATTCTAAATTCTGCTAATTCACAATATAGCGCAACCGCTAGCCAATGTCCAGTACTCCTAGGCTTTCCAATGGTTCTCTAACCAATGTCAGCTCATGATGAAATCCTGTAACCAATCAACCGAATCCCTACAGACCAATACTTGAAAATTTAAATTGTGTTTGACCACCTCCATATTATCTATTCATCAAGCATATAATAATAATAATAATAATAATAATAATTTACTTCATTTCAAAAACAGTACTTATAATACAGAATGGAATTCTCAGCATTTGTCACAATATTGCATCTGATTTACTCAAAATATAAATGAAATTAAAACAAAATTGACCAGAGGAATTTGTCCACATCTACGATATAAAGTCAAAAATATTCGAAACACAAATTGAGAATATTAAATGTAATAATAATAATAATAATAATAATAATAACAGTGAGTTTGTTTCAAACACTATTGTCGATTCAGTTCGGAAATTTTAGCATGTTATTATAGAGTATTGAATCTAATGTTCTGTTGACATAGTATAGTGAGGGGAAAGGCGAAATCAAGAGTTATAACACAGCTTAAATGATGTTCACACTTATGAAAAAATGAACAAATAAAAACAAAAAATTGAGAGGATTATAAATATAAGAAGAACAATGATGTTATAAGGGTGGAGAAAGTGGTTTATTTAGTAGTGCAAAGAAGGTTAGTTAGTTCGTGCCTGACACTATTTTCATCACATAAAGTACGTGCGGTCAAATATGGTATAGTGGAATTTTTATACTTAGACGTACGTGCATAAATTCTTCTGAAAAAGCTTCTTGTTTCACTTGGGGAGACACAAAGTCGGAGGTGAGGGTAGAGTGGATGCTCAGAGTCTGACAAAATTCCCTTAGCTAATTTGTTACATGACATCAAGTGCCTATCTGTGACAATGTCAACGATATGGCCCAATGGGATACCACTCGTCCTACTGACAGTCTTCAGAGTTCTACGAAGTATGACATAGTCTTTTTTAAGTAATCCAGGAAAGAATAAGGGTGAACAGTAAAGAAGAATAGGTAAAATACGCGAGTTGACAAACTGTATTAGGAGGGTGGGTTGGGTTATGCATGAATGCCTCAACTTCTTAATGTAAAAAGTCAGACGAAATATTCTTTTAGAAATCTCTAAGACATGGGAAGACCAGGAGGCAAGCCTGTTTGTCAACAATTTATATCCTCAATGTTATTAATTGGTTTTAGTCAGATAACTTTTAGAAAGCAAATAGAGTTAGAAGGATGCTCCTTTCCATGATAAAATGCAAACTTACTGTTGGTGTTAGAATAGGTTGATAGATAAACAGACAGATAGACAGACAAAATCCAAGAGCGTAGTGTTTAGGATTACAACATAACTGTCTGGGCTTCATGCCTAATATCTGTACAATAAATGAAAGATAGTATGTATGGAAATTTTAAAAAAATAATAAAAGAAATTATCATCTCCACTAGAAAAAAAGTAGAAAAAAAGGCAAAACACAATAAAAAGAAAGCAAAAAAAATTATGTTCTCACCGAAGAAGCAAAGATAATACATGCGTGTATTTGCGTCATTAAGATCAATTCTGAAGCATACCAATACGCGACACAACTTCACCATCGATTCAACTAATCTTACAAACTTCAAACATCCAATGCTACACTCACCTATATTGGTTATATATATATCAGTAATCAATAAATCCATGGTTTGCTACATCATTTTTTTCTCACCTAATCATTGCTTGTTCTCTTCTAACCTCTCCTACATTGATATGGATAGTGAGTGAGGATAGACAGCGTAGATCTCAGATGTCTTAAGGTGTAAAAGTTAGCAGCTTCCATGACTGACTTATCAGTCTTCATTATGATTGAACTGCCCTTTTTACACAAGTAGTGATTACCTCGATGTATAACAATTTTAGATTTTCCAGAAAAGATTTGATTTTTTCCCTTTTAGACAGATACTCGTTTGTCAGTTGGATCTTACTTCGATGACTAGAGCAAGTGTAAGACAACAATCTACATCCTGTAAGTTCCTCTGGCGTCTTGCGTGGAACATGGGGCTTCAAGTACCTTCAGTAGCAGTGGTGTTTTTTTTATTGCAGGGTGATGTTGCTAGCCTTACGCCAAGCCTTCCCTCTTTGTAGAGCTTACAACCATCCAGGGGAGGTAAAGGCATGCGCCGGGTGGGGACTGAACACCGGACCACATGCATGATCGGCCAGCATCCTACCTTTGAGCCACCGACATTCTTATGTATGACTCATCCCTTGGGTTTATAGAGTAGCAACACATAGTCACTTCATTCTGTTTCTCACAATTACCTATTAGCTTTCACTCCCTCTTCATACGATTTCCATATTTTCCCATTGGGGTTCTTCTGGAGTATCGATCTGGTGGATAGTTTTACTCTACATTCTTCTTAGACCATGTCTTATTCATCACCATTTTCTTTTGTAAGCATACTGGCATCGGTGGCTCAGTGGTAAGGACGCTTGCCGACCATGCGCATGGTTCAGGGTTCGATCCCCGGCCACCGACTCACTCCTTTACCTCGCTAAGCCAGAAATAATGCTAGTAAAGAGGAAAGGTTGGGCATGAGGCTAGCAATCCCATCCTGTAAAGTTAAACACTGCTACAGAAACTTTAAGCTAGAGGCTTGAAGCCCTATATTCCACTGGGGAACGTGAAGGAAAAAAAAGCATATTGGCCAATAAGTTTACTGTTGATTTGTCGCCAGCGTTGCTCATGTTTTCTAGTCGAACAGCCATTCGACTTTCACTATCGAACGAAAGCATCTGTTGATAAAAGCCTGAGATAGCACGAATTCTCTGGACCAGATGGAAGCACTGACTTGATATCAGTGAAAGTTAGTTGATAATAAGAAATAAAAATAAAAAGTGTTCATCCTCATTGAAATCAAATATAACTATAATGAATCAGCTAGTAATCTAGAGACTATGGTTTCGAATCCAAGAGGTATCCCATTCTTCTCGTTTCATCTTCTATTATCACCTATTATCACATGGATAGTAGCCTAATAATTCAAGACATCCCAGCAAGCTTGGCCGATAAATGAAAACGGAATATTGGACATGTATATTGATTATTAAAAAGTGGCATGTAATAAGGATATATTTAGTTCACATTCAGTTAAAATGTGAAGAACAACTTATCTAAGGGTCAACTGGTTCGGACAACAAAAATTAAATATTTTCTCTAGTTTGGTTCGTAAGGGTTAGTTATTTTTTTCCCGAGTTGATCACGGATTGATATCAGTTAGAGAACCATTGAAAACCAGGGAGTACTGGACAGCTGCTGTTTGATCCTAGTTTCGGGAATCATCGACAGTACGCACTCACCACCACGGTTCGAACCCAGGACCTTCCGGTTACAAGTCAAGCTCATATATTATTCAGTCACTGGGACCCGATTCATAGGCCAGTCCATGTATTCTAACTTCTACTGATTCATGGTTTAGCGCGACCCCAACCATTGTCGTTGGTGGGACATCCATCCAAACACGTGACATCTAATTGGACCTCACTAGTCACCACTTCTCACTAGAACTCCAGGATACTCCATCCTGTAGCAAGTCATTAACGAGCATCACATTAATTTGCCATAGTTTGGTTTGTAAGGGTCCCAGTGGCTGAGTGGTATACGAGCCAGCTTGCTTTGTAACCGGAAGGTCCTGGGTTCGAATCCAAGCGAGTGCGTACTGATGATGATTCCCAAACGAGGATGAAACTGCTGTCCAATACTCCCTGGTTTTCACTGTTTCTCTAACTGATATCAATCAGTGATCAACTCGGAAAAAAATTAAATAATTAGAATAAATATAATAACAGTAGTAGTGGTCACTATTTTAAGAATCTATCGGGTTCTTATGACTTTATGTAGTTAGCTACTTTTCTATTTTATGAAAAATATTCTAGGTCGGTAGCACTGATTGGTTAGCTGATGAAGTCATTTGGAACATTGCAGTGTATCATGACACTTAAATTGCAAGTTATCACATTTAAGTACAGTGACTAATTTTGGAACTGGTGTATTTTAAGTTGAGGTCACCTTTGTGTAAAATATTCCCTAGGCAGTTGAAACTTTTTAAATCATGTGGTCTCACTGATACATTCATTTAACACATTCATCATCAAGCTGTTAATGAAAGTTCTTTTCATAAAAAATGATTAATCAACAATCTGAGGTCAGATAAAAAGCATTATTTAGACTAGCAATATAATAATAATACTATAAATTATTATTGTTATATTGTCGTGGTGTTAATTTTTAACCCTCTCACCCAACCGGGCATACAAAAACATGTGATGCAAGTTAATGAGGGCAGACACACCATGTTAATGATAACTGTAATAACAAACTGCAGACCAAAATCAGACTAACAAACAATAAACAATACTTTTGTGGCTTAACTAGGTATGAAAATCAATAGCTCGGAAGGTCAACACTACATTTATATAAGGAGAAAGAGAGAGAGCAGATATAATATATATAAATGATGACTAATCGGGAATATCCATATCATACGGAAATAACAAACCTCCAATTGAGTTTTATTCCGGTAAATGTTGTCACCCCCCAAAAATTTGCATGACTTCGATTTGCTAATGCTTTTAAACGGCAGAACGATTAAAATAGGGGTGGGTTACAAATCTCATTAACATATATGTTAAAGACCCCCGGTAAACTAAAGATTTACTTGAAAATGAAAATATCACTTCGCCTGTCATTCCGCTGCGTCACTAATCTCGTGCTCTCCTACTCGCTTTGTTTTGCTCACACTGTTCACAGTTTATCAAATTTCGTTTACTAAGTTGGACTCTACTGAATTTTGGATTTGTTAAGGATTTCCAATGTCTCTACACCGTTCTTCTAATGGACCTCCACCGGCCAAACCACTTGTCGCTCTTCTAGATGGACGTGATTGCACCATTGAGATGCCTTTACTGAAAGATGTAGCTACGGTCGCTTTTTGTGACGCATCATCAACCAGCGAAATACACGGGAAAGTTCTTGAAGAAGCTGTTGGAGCTCTAATGTGGCATACTATTTCATTAACACGTGAAGATCTTCAGAAGTTCAAATCTTTGAAGATAATTGTGAGAATTGGGAGGTACGTTCGCTATTCATGTATATATTTGTATATGCATATCATATTACTGTTAATTAAACTATGGTATTGTTCTGTATGTAATTGATGCCCCGATGCTACAATATTGCATTCGCGTTCTTTTATTCATGGATTGTTCCTAATTTTAGTGGTTATGACAACATTGACATAAAAGCAGCTGGAGAACTTGGTATTGCTGTCTGTAATGTTCCAGGTTTTGGAGTTGAAGAGTCTGCGGACACTACCCTTTGTCATATCTTGACCTTGTATCGTCGTACTTATTGGCTTGCAAATAGTCTTCAAATGGGCAAACGGATTAATGGACCGGAGCATTTAAAAGAAGTTGCGAATGGATCTGCTCGGATACGGCGAGATACACTTGGCATTGTGGGTTTAGGTAAGCTTTCCAGACTAAATTGATTGTTTACTGTGTAAATAATGAAGTGACTTGTCTTGTGTTAATGTCTTGTAATTAGCCTATTATTTTGATGTTTAGTGTACAAAATCCTATTATGTAAGTCATTAGTCTGCTCGGAAAAATTTGTTAACCACTGTGGTAGGATTAATGTGGTAAATGTTCCACTAAATCTCTTATTTGATTACTCATTGAGAATCAGACTTCCTGTTTGGTGTTTGTAGTATGAAAATTCATTGATAGCACTAGTCGGTATGTTTTTTGTCCTCAACGACTGAATGACCTACGCTGTATTGATGTTGTTACACATTCCATAAATCCTACAAATCGTACTTTACCATTTTCTTAAACTGCTTTGTACCTGGCCAAGGATCATAACATCGACTGACTGGTAAAAGCGTTCCAGATTCTATAGTGAAGGGGGTGTTGGAATGTTATTATGATTGTCGAATGGTCTTGTATGGCTAGCAGTTGTGTTCACCACCATGTTCCTTGTAACCTTCAATAGTGAAAGATCGGAAGTGCTTGTCGTAGATACAGCTATCTAGCTACATACATTAATACCGGTGTGAACTGTAACTATAAATACTATAATTTGTGAAGGATATGGCTAAAAATGGTTGGTGGGTTTTGACAGGAAATGCTTCGGTGCCATTGCGGTTGATTGCCAGAAGCGTTTTCTACCATTTTAAATCAGGGATTACTGTTGATTGTTCGGATCAGAGCAATTTGCTGTTACCTCACGTATAACATTGTCTACAGTATACTAAGTTTTCTAAGTAGTCAACTTTCATATGTGATCTTTAGGAACAGATTTTCAGGTATACTCACTTCCCTCCCGAATTTCTCTCATGGTTACGTGACCATAACTTCTGGCATGTTATAACGACTCGCTGATTTTTCACGTCGTTGACACGGTTTCATAATGGTGAGATGTTAAGTGTGAATAATTAGGTCTTGTCAACCAAGTTGTAGATGGGGATGGTTCACATGGGTTACGTGGCAGACTTTAATTTCCAATGAATTGTGCACATGAGTTTCGAGATCTTAAAGGAATGAATAATATATGAATCCACTTCGAAGACTGACATCCACTACAACGCATTGTCTGATGCTGCTGCTTTGTTACCTTGCCTTCCTGACGTACAGCTGTAACCATGACACTTTCACTTCCCTGTAGCAGGATAAGTTTTTGGCCTAATATTTGTTCCGTGTTGAATTTTGTAGGCTTGCTGACCTAAGGTGCTTAGAATTAGGAGAATTAGAGTCTTGTTGAGGTCGTTCTAAGTTGTTCACATGTCATTATCAAAGTTTTGAATACCTTTCTTCACTGTTATTTTACTATTATAGTATCACTAAATGTGTGTCTTATTATGTGCCAGTCGGCTAGCATTTTGCACTAGAAAAGACCATGATGAACATAGCATATTGTTGATACTCTAGACATTATGACTTGGACTTTGTAGCTCACTTCAGCGCTACTCGAACAAAGATAATGATGGGTCTGTATCATTCCTTGAACTCCGACTGCTTGTATTAATATTGCAGCATGCTTTAGAAATAGAACTAGCTGCTACATATTGCATTTATAGTATTGTCACTAACAACGTATTGCCGACTTCTAGCTTGTAGAGTCTGCACTAACGGTTTCAGAAACCGGTACACTGAAACATGCAAATCATACAATGTAACAGCTGGTCGACACATTTAAGGAATAGGTGTCATTAACCTTTTAGAGTATCATCATATGCATTCACACCGTTGACTGCGGTTGTGTTAATAAGACTACAAGACTAGTTGGACACAACGAGGAAATATCATGTGCGGCCTGAGAAATAAATTCATAAACTAGATAAAGCTTGAATAGTCCTATGTCATAGGGACAGGCTGTTGTTCCCAACATTCAGTTTACCGTAGACATAGATATCAATACAAGTCGTAGATGTCATTGAAGCAACCATTGTTAAGTGAACATTCGGCTTCGCTCAAACAGACTGTTGTGAAGTGCCAATCTGTGAAGTTAGCGGTTGTGTGCTTAAGGCATGTTATGATGTGTAGGTGGTCTGTGCTTCATTATGGTGTAGTGTGATAGATATTCTGCTTTCAACCAGTTGGTCACTGGTTCAAATGCATTTTCACCCAAGAAAGTTGGAGTATCATAAGCGTAACTTATCTTTGAGTAGTATTTTATTTTTCGCTTTGGGTCATTAGAATATTGAGAGATTAGGTTAGATTTTGACCGCAGTGGTTCAGATCTGTTCATTATTTATCTTTTCCTTTTCAACAATGATTTATCTTATCTTTTTCACAAGTTTATCTACCATAGCATCATTTCATGATGTTTTCTTTTGGTCACATTAATGGGCATCTGTGCACATCTCATGTTAACCTGTTTGTCTCAAAGCTTTACCTGAGATTTAGTGAAGAGTTTAAATTCGTCGTTTTAGGGATCTGTGCATCTGTGTGAAGCTTGATGTTGTAAGCTCCGATGCGAAGTTGGCATTGTGCTTTTAATCCGTCTGTTTGTGACATAGAACTTTGCACATATGTGCGGCAGTTCAAGTCGCCACATATGTGCTTTTAATAGACTTAGGGTGGTGTTTCTCATCATCTAGCAATGGCCAGAAAAAAGGCGAAGAAGCTGAACAATATTATGGACTCTTAAGTAAAGCAAAAAAAAGGTGGAGGCATGATGAACACAAGGATTTTGGGTGCTTATAGAACTATGTGAACATTTGCAGCTTCCCGGAAACCCACAACATGGAAGTTGATTATTTCAGAATATCTGAAGGAAAAGAGGATAAGTTTCTCACCACCAAATCTTTTGTGGAACTACTATTAAAGGTCGGCTACACATAGAGGTGGAGTTTCATCTGTAGATGAGGCATTACCGTTGGTTGTGACTGCCGTTGGGTGAGTCCAAATGTATGAATTTTGAAGCTGATCTTTTGTGAGTCTTCGCTTTCAGAGCTGGAAGAGTGCATAGTTAGTTTGCTAGTCTCTCTGTGGAAATACCTTACCATTGTAGATGTCTATTCTTTAACTGAACGAATTTGCTTCCAGACCCCTACATTGTGCAAGCAACATTCATTATTGTGGTAAGCACTATCCAATCAACTTTTTGTAATTATCGGATTTGAGGAACATTATTTTTAGTCAGCATATCCGGGATCACTACTATGCAAGCCGAAGGACCGCCTTAAATTTGGGTTAATACAAGTTCACGAATAAATTTACTCAAGTACACTGGTTTGTAATAAAGTTTATTGAAAAGAGCATTACTGCATGTATGAACTCGAAGCGATGCTAAGTAAGGACGTAAATGAACACTTAAACTGGAGGTATTCTCGATGCTTTTTTCACACCATATTTATTTGCAGGTTTTCGGTACATTTTCTATTAATTTATTTGACATTTAATCAGATATTGAAGTATCCAAAATTATAAAGTATATGTTAAGTGTATTTGTTGTCTTCAAATATACGTTTCTTTGAATTGTATGGGCATGTGATTACTTATTCTCAGTGGCAAAGCTCTTTTGACTTATATATAGTTACCTTTTCCTTGGGTGATTAACCCTCATTTCAATCTTTCTATCGGTATAAACTAAGCGTTCATAAAACCTTTTATTGACAGATATGGTTATTTCTGATAGGTAGGAGGAGGTCTGCAAGCCATCAGGCAGTAGCATGATATAGGGAATTTGGCATATTCAAGATTGGACGTAGTGGGAGGTTCTCTTTGTTCACTTTCGGCAGACCATATAAACAGGAAATCACGGAACCTTAGGGTCGTATTTGCTCAAATAATTCAAAGCTGGTAATCGATTCGTACTACTACGTCCAATCATGAATATGACAAATCCCTCATATGATGCTACTGCCAAACGGCTTGCAGACATTCTCCTACTTATCAGATATGGTCGTTGTTTACAATATATCTTCAATTTAAACTCCATTCCCAGAACAGTTCTTGTATGTTTCAGTCTATAAGCCACAGTTATTGTGTGAAGCCAGTTGATACTACTCACTTGCTGAGGCTGAAGTAAGCGGAACAAGATCCGAGTCTAGGACGCACTGACTGAATGTCGAGTTCTGAATCCAGTGAACCACGTCTCCATACAACATAGCTTAGTAACTTATGTTGTCAGTATTTATAAGCTACCATAGTTCCTCGGCAGAATTTTTTTTTCCTTCACGTTCTCAGTGGAACATAGGGCCTTAAGCTAGTGGCCGAAAGTTTCTGTAGCAATATTTAATTTTACAGGATGGGGTTGGTAGCCTCATGTCCAAACTTTCCTTTTTACCAGTCTCATTACTGGTTTAGCGAGGTAAAGGAGAAGAATATTACATACACTAATTTAGGATAACATTCGATCTGTAAAGTCATTTAGATTTGTTTTTTGGCATTCGTTTTTAAAGATTGTCTCAGAGCTGAAGTTGGTTCTATAGATTTAACAATGTGGAGAATTTTTATTTTTATAAAATAATAAATCTTAATGAGATAAATAATTCAGGTTTTACTGTGCTAATGACTGTAGGTAATTATGGAAATTGCGTTCAGAAAAGGATTTTTGCATGGTGAAATGAATAAAAATGTAAACAAATTAACTTTTACTCATCAGAATAATTTTCAACAGGTGCAAACAGAGTGACTCACTCCTTTTATCTTGGAAAATAACCCTAGAAACCAAAAAAAATAAAGTATTCGCATATTAAGCTCATCCTTTTGTGTAATAGTTTAAAATCTGTCCAAAATGGTAATATTTAACTGGTATAGAATACACAAACTCTAATAAGCTTTGTGGATATATTTTTAAAATTTTGAACTCCTAGATCTCTCAAGTTCGATCACGGATAGAGAACCATTGAAAACCAGGAAGTACTGCTAGGCAGCTGTTTCGTCCTAGTTTAGGACTCAACGGCTATGCTCTCACTTACTGGGGTTCAAACCTAGGACCTTCTGGTTACTAGTTTTTTTTTCTTCACGTTCCCCAGTGGAACATAGGGCCTCAAGCTAGAAGGCTTGAAGTTTCTGTAGCAGTGTTTATTGTACAAGGTGGGGTTGCTAGTCTCATGCCCAATCTTTCCTCTTTACTAGCATTATTTCTGGCTTAGCGAGGTAAAGGAGTGAGTCGGTGGCGGGGGATCGAACCCTGAACCACGTGCATGGTCGGCGAGCGTCCTAACCACTATGCCACCGACGCACTCTGGTTACCAGTGTAGCTTGTAAACCATTCAGTCAGTGAGTTGCAAACTAGGACAAAACAGGTGTCTGACAATACTCTCTGGTTTACAAGGGTCCCCTAACTGATATCAATCTGCTGTCAAACTTGAAATAACTCAAATCCCTACAAACAAACTCTTGTAAATCTTAGATCTTTACATAAGACAAAAAAAACAAATGAAAGATAAGAAATATCGCATAGCTTTGTGTATATCACTTCTTGTAAATTATTTTAGATTTCTTCTAGGCTTTTTTTGTAGTTGATTTGTTTTAAATTATAATAAATGTGTACGTCTAAGCAACTTAACTTTATGATATATCAGTTTATTCTCTGTTCATTGATGTCAACTTAAGCGTGATGTTTATCAATGCGTAAAAACCACCTAAAATTTAGTATAAAAAAGGCCTTTATTTTCATAACCCGTATGTCTTTAATAAAACACTATATGTGTTCCTTCAGTTTCTAAAGTGTTTCGTTACTTATGGGTGTGGTAATTAATAAATTAGTCAGTTAACCTGGTTTCATGAAGATTACTTCTAATAACTTCTAATGTTTTACTAAGTTTTTAGATCAATAACCGTTTTTTTTAAATTTTTTTTGTTCGTTTTACATCTGTTGTTCAGTTTACTTTTTCGCACCATCATATTTCGCTTTTTTATACCTTAGCTGAAATTTGTATCAACATCTCATTGTTAGGGTTTATTAACAACACTTAATACAGACACCAGAGTTTCTGGTTTACATTTATTTGTAGATCGTAAGTAACCCAAGGCAGATACTCTGGATAGATACATAGCAAACAGTAGTATAGTGCAGTTTACCCTTTCCATCGTGTTACAATTATTTCAGTTCATGTATTTGTATTTGTCTGTTTTTTTCAGAGAACCTCTCGAATAATTCTTTTTTCCAATAATATATATATATATTTGTGTATTTTTAGGTCGAGTTGGGACGGCTGTTGCTCTACGAGCTCAAGCTTTTGGATTTCATGTAACATTTTATGATCCTTATCTACCAGATGGAATTGAACGATCACTAGGTATCGAACGTGTTTACAGTCTACAAGATCTTTTATTTCAAAGTGATTGTGTTACATTGCATTGTTCTCTTAATGAACAGAATCGTCATATGATCAATGAGCATACAATAAAGTTAATGAGACCAGGTAAGCTAAGCTCTTCATTATAATGCCTCATTTTTAATAGCATGGTAACTGTTTAACTGACTACATTCTGTGACATTTAATATAACCAGTTAGTCAATGCATACTTTTGTTTATCAGTAGGAATTAGTCCTCCAGTAAGGAATGTTGTAGTAACGTCATGATGAAGTTATACATAAGAATGGTGAGTTATTTTGAAGTATTAATATATATATATATAAGGGAGTTTCTCCTAAAAAGAAGTATATTGCTTTAGCAGTTTGATAAGTCACTAAAACTTCCGTAAGCAGGTAAGAAACGGAAATAAGACCGACGAGGTTGTGAAGCTACACGGATTGAGATGGTTAGGACATGTGTAACGCATGCCTAGCCATCGCCTTCCTCGACGGGCAATGTTAGCTGACATATGTCAGGTTGGAAAAAAGCTAGTGTGGTGGTCAAACTAAAGTACGGCTTCATCAGTCAATGAACTCCATAACTCTTAGTTTCATCCAGTCAGCCAACCACGTAGGGAGATGTAAACTTCCTGACTGGTTGGGGACCTCGGGGATAATAAAAGGATACTCTTTTCGATAACTTCATCATCAGGTTCTACAGTTATATATACATAACAGTGAATGTTGTTTAAACATTAATGCTGTTAATAACACTAATTCATTCACTATTATATATACATAACTGTAGAACCTGATGATGAAGTTATCGAAAAGAGTATTCTTTGTTCAATAATTATTCTTTTTGCCTCACATTTCTGTTGATTATCTCCCTTTTGCATCTTTCTTTGCTCTTTTTTCTGTTGCTTTGTGTGCTACATTGAAGGAGTGTGGCAACTCTAACTGCTACACATCTGTGCAAAGTTCTACTTTGAAACCAGTCAGTCTTTCAGTAACCAGACATTGCGAACTACTACGTTTGGAACCCAGAAAGTTAAAAGTAATTTTTGTGTAACTTTCATATTACACTTAGTTTCAATCCTTCGAGTTTTACTCTCTGTATCTTACATCAGATTGCATCATCACCTTTCCATTAAACGTCCTACACATCAGCTTTTAATTCTATCCTTCGATCTTCTAGCTTCTTCTCACTGTTTATTAATTATTATTCCCGGTTAGACAATTATTGAACTGTTTGAGCAATATTTTATTTGTTAATGTTGGTATCCCTTATAACAAGTTTTCTTAATATTCACGCGAAACTTCGTTTCTGTGAGATAACAAGGTAACCATTCTTGTGCTTTAATTCATCATGACGTAGTTAAGATATGCCTTACTGGAAGACTGATAAACAAAAGTATGTATTATAGCTGGTCATATTAAATGTTGCCTCGGTGGCACAGGGTAGAATGCTCGCCAACCACTTCGCAGGTGGTTCGGTTTTCGATCCCTGGCCATTGACGCACTCCTTTACCTCGCTAAGCCAGGAATAAGACTGGTAAAGAGAGAGAGAGAGTTGGGCATAATGCTGACTAGAAACTCCATCCCGTTCCAGTGCGGACGTAAAGGAATAAAGGCAATTTAAATGTTACATGTTGTGGGTAGTTGAATAAAAACCATGAAATACAATGGATCTATGTCATTCTCCTCCTTCGTTTATTCTTTTCGCTTTCGAATTTTTTAAAGAGGCATCTGTATATGGTGTTTTTTAATGAACATAAATGTCAAAAAATAATTGTCTAACAAATAGATGAGCTAAAGTCAACTGTTGTATACGTTACATCCACTGATAGGAAAGGAATGTTTCCAGGTCGATGAAATAAGTAATCTAATTACTCCTTGTTTAAAAAAAGGTGTTCATGCATTTCGCTCTGATGGTAAATGCATATAAATTTGCTTGTACGTTAATTTGGTGGATGGTGACTAGCAGTGGAATCCAGATTGCTCATGAAATGGGCTAATGAGTCCGAGTCTCAGTGAGGACATCATAACTTACCGGGAATATACACGTGCATCAAGATGACGGATCTCAATTAGGCCGAAATGCTCACTCTAGATTCCATTGCTAGTTGTCACCAACCAAAAAGCTTCAGGCATTGGCGAAGCGTTTGTGTTAGAAACTGGCATGTCAACAGAGGTCAAATATTTTGGTCCAGTCAGTCAACAGGAAAATCGAAATTGTATTACAAACAGGATGATTGGTTAGTTGTTTGTTGCACTTATTTCAAATTCGAATTCAATTTAAGCTTTAGGAACTATGTTGTAACACATAGTTGGAATACACCTTCAAAAGTTGGGACTAGTAGGGTGTAAGGTAAGGGAGGGGGAAATCAGTCTATAAGGTTGCAAAGCTGCATCGATTCACATGTTCACATATTCCTAAACGGCTACAGAAACAAATGGAATCTTCAGAACCTATTAACGGTGAGAACAGGAGACCTAGCTCTTCTATTGCGAAACATATTATAGAGACAGGTCATAAAATTGATGTTAACAGATCTTTTAAACCTATCTATAAAACGTGTTTGGGGCGTATCCTAAAGTTTGTAGAAGCCTTAGCAATTAGAAAGTTCAAGCCACCTTTATGCGTTCAAAAACAATTTGTCATCACATTAAACCTTCCTTGGTAAATTTTGTTTTGATACCATAGCAGATGTACTATTACCTCTGCTATTTGGTTTAGTGGTCTTCATTTTTATTTTTTGACCTTGAATATGTCCTTTTAACTTGACCTAAGTCTATTTTTCTCACCTCTTACCTCTTTATTAATTTTTTATATATATATTCCTATGACAAGTCCGTGTGTGATGAGATTGTTCGAAATGTGTTGCGCAAATACATTACACGATTCAGACAAATTACGTCTTCTTATTGCTTTATCTAAATTCATAAAGGGAACTAATTGTTTTAAATTCTTTTTATTACTAAGAGAATTCACTATATGTATGCGATCTTTTTATGGCTGTGAGACCTGGCCATTGAGAGTGGAAGACATGAAAAGATTAGCTAGTTGTCTTTGATCATAGGTGCCTGCGTTCTATCTCCCGAGTGAAGCGGTATAATAAGGTGAGCAATATTGAGGTTAGGCTTTGGTCGAGTGCTAGGTAAGGAAGAGAAATCAATCGATGAGGCTGTGAAATTACATCGACTGACATAGGTAGGACATGTGTTACGTATGCCTAGTCATCGCCTTCCTCGACGGCAATGTTAGCTGACGTAGTGTCAAGTTGGCAAAGAGCCAGTTAGTGGCGGTCAAACCAAAACATAGCACCAGTCAATGAAATCCACAACAGTTAGTTTAGGCTAGCCACGTAGGAAGGTGTAAACTTCCAGGTTGGGGTCGTCGGGACGGTGAAAATGACCGGCGACAATTGCTGATATAGCTCAAAATCGTTCTCGGTGATGGTGCAGACACATCCACTCCTTTTGATTTATGATTTCCAATGAAACTATGTCGTTCTTCGTTATTACTGTTCCTCTGTCCCACACCTCTGTTTACTGTCTCTACTATGCATTTCTTCTACTTTCTTCTCTTGCTTTGTGTGCTACAAGGAGGGAGTGTGGCGACTTGAACTGCTGCACATCAGTGCAAAGTTCTGTGTCGAAAATAGACAGACAGACAGATATGTATGTGGTTGTACAGCTTGAGAATGATATGACTGAAAAGAGTAACTCTTTGCTGAACGTCTTTTCATTTTTCTCTTTTTCTTTTCAGGTGCTTTTTTGATCAATACTGCTCGAGGAGGTTTAATAGATGAAGTAGCGCTTGCAGCTGCTTTAAAAGAGGGTCGAATTCGTGCTGCTGCATTAGATGTAACTGAAACTGAGCCATTTGTTTGGAGTAATAGTAAGTTTTACTTCGTATTAATATGCCTATTGTTGTTTCTTCTAAAATGTGCCATTCCATTGGAATTTTTATGTACTTTGTATTTTTGATGGCTGCAATTTTTCCTTGTCGGAAACATTGTGACGTATAGAAATATTTGTCAAAGATTAAAAAATAGTGAAGAGTGATAGTGCGGAACCATTGCTCATTGAATCGTCAGCTATTGGTTAAACAGTAACGCCTCCTTTTCACGAGACTTCTTGGTACTAGTAAGTTAGATTATTCATGTTATGGATTGACACCTCGAATAGTCTAAATTTGTGCAGACCTGTAGATAGCCAGAGGATCTTTTATGATCCAAAGTTTTGCTCGTGATGAATTTCACCATCGAAGCAAGACTAAGTTTAGGAGGTGGTACTAGTAACATCCATATCTGATGGCAGTTTAGCTTACTGATAATTCTGTAAATTTCTTCTCTTAAACAAAGTTTATAATTCTATAATCCTTTGTCTAAGAAAATTACTAGTTAACTCTAACTGACATCAGACATGAAACTGAGCAACTGGAATTCAAACTTGAAAAAAAACCATAGTAAATAACTAGGGCTGGTATCATCCAGGTTTTGTCGGTCAATAAAATGATAGTCTATCTGTTTCATGTCTAGACACTTTATGTGCCTGCATTATATTTCTTCGGAGTTTAAATCATAAACTTTCTAGTGTGTGAACCCTGATATGTATAGCCTGAGGCGCGTATGTTATGCTTCATTTTCTTACGTATAGAAAGTCCTTATTTTCCTGTCTGTTATCAATCTTTTATAATAAAAACAACTTTGTTGTTATTTTTATCTTTAAAAACTACACCATTGTTTAAAAATCATAATTTCAGTAAATATTGTTAGATTTCTATTGGTTTCCAATTCGATTCAACTTTTAACCTATGCTAATAAAAGTTATCTTTAGTGTCAATTCATGTCATTGTTTGTATATTTACTCCACTTTTTAAATCAGGTGCTTTAAAAGATGCTCCAAATCTTATTGTCACACCACATATGGCATTTTACAGTGAATCAAGTATGCGTGAAATGCGTGAAGCAGCTGCAAATGAAATTCGCAGAGCTATATTGAATCGTATTCCAGATTGTCTTCGAAATTGTGTCAATAAAGAATTTATGCCGAATTCTGGTTCATCAGGATTTTCTCATGGTTGTTCCAGCAATTCTTTGTCAAATAACATCAGCAACAATCCTTTGCTTAATAATAGTCATCTGTCCCTTGCAGCAGGTATTCCCGGTGTTAATGCTCTTAATAATAGCGTTGCTTCAGGACTAGAAAGCGCCGCACGTGGTTTACATCCTGCTGCTGCAGCTGCAGCCTTCGGTCTTTCTGCAGGCCTGTTTTCCTCCGCAACAGGCGGAGGCGGTGGCTTGGGGGAGTAGGTGCTAACAGTCTTCCATTCCCTGCTAATCTAATCGGTGGTTCAGGAATAGGCCTGTCGAATGCCGGTGGTGGTATTTTAACTAACAGTGGTGGTCCAACAACAATTCCAGCCTTACCTCCTCCACCTGCTGTTGCTGCAGCCGCTGCGGCTCATTTAGCTGGTCTTCCTCCTGTCTCTGCATATGCCAATTTCTTCCCTCCTGGTTTGGCCGCTGGCTTAGGCCTTCCACTTCCTCCTCCACATGGTCCATCTTTAGGTAACGTTTCCGGGTCGATAGGAGGCACAACTACTGGAGCTTCAACGAGCGTCACTACAGGCAGTTGTAGTAATAATTCCACTTCTGGTTCAGGAGGTCAAACAGTCAGCTCCCCTTCACCTGCCACCAGTGGATGCATTCCCGGTGTATCCAGCAGTACATTCGACAGTGTACACGCAAGACTTGCTGCTGCTGCCAGCCTAGTTGCATCAGGTCTTAACCCGAGGTGAGTATTTACGGTATTTTTATTAATTTTGATACTTTATTTTACTATGTATGTTTATGAGTGATTAATAATTTGACTTCTTGAGTTTGATAAACTTGTTGATGTCTTATCTTTCCAGTTCTACTCTCGCATTTCAAATTGGAAATAAATCACTACCTGAATATCTTAGTGACAGATATAGAGTGTAGTGCTCAGCAATGATAGTTTTTTTAGCACTGAGTGTTATGAGTGAGAGTTTGCCATCCTCTATTACATGTATGTTTTTCTAGTTAGATTATAAGGGAGCAGTTATGATAACTTGTTATTACGTAATTGAATGAGTTTAGTTCTTAGTATCAATGATTATGCACTTGGTAATTCATTTAGTTTTACTCTTAATTAGAAGTAATGAGACAGTGAATGATTAGTGGTTAAATTCTAGAACTGAATCGTTAGAAAAATCTGCAAATATATCTCACTAGTGGTTTAAACACTCAACTTCTAACCAATAGGTCTTGGGTTCAGGTTGCACTGCCTATATTATCTCATCTTGGGCCACTGGGCAATGTCATCAGCTATAACACAGTATGTCTGGTTGACTTTTTGGTAAATAAACATTCTATTCCAATTGACTGAGTTGTACTAAATTCCATAAATTATCATTATGTGCATCCATTATAATTTTTTCTAAAACTTATTTTACTCCTTTACGTTCCTTGTGGAACATAGGGCTGATTCGAGCTAGAGGCTTGAATTTTCTGTAGCAGTGGTGTTTATTTTTACGGGATGGGGTTGCTAGCCAGCATTATGCTCAAGCTTCCCTCTTAACCAGTCTTATTACTGGTTTGCTGAAGTAAAGGAGCGCGTCGACCGGGGATCGAACCCCAGACCAAATGAGGCGTGGTTGGCGAGCATTCTACCGCTCACAGGACATTTGTATTGACTACTATTACTACTCCTGGCCGATAACTGCTACCTTGTCGTGGTGGTTGGGCTTGAATACCGTAATAACCCAACATGCTAAACTGACTGGGACTCTGTCCCTGCAGGTCCTACCATGTCAGGAAGGTTGTCTGGATAGCTGTTAAACTCAAAGCAGTTACCATGGGGTACATGGGCTCAGGTATCCAATTGGATCAAATGGCGTATGAACCCATATGGGTCACCGGAAACCATGGGAATGCAGCTCCTGACGCTGCTCCGCTGCCTTACGGGGTGGTCCTTTAATAAAACCGCCTGCTTCGGTCTGGGCGCCCAGGCAGTATCTCAGCCCTCACACAATGAATTGAATAAAGCAACAAACAATCAATGAAACTTATCGCGTGCTATTACAAGTGTTGCAGTTTCCTTCTTCCCTTCCCGATGATAGTTAACGAATACTGTTTGCACTTGTTAAGCATGACTGTTTTCCTTCCAGATGAAGTTCTTTATCCGTTCTCTACTCATATATACATATATATATTTCTCTTCTTTTTTTCTTTTGATCTATGTTGTTTTATTATTGTGGGGCGCATCCTTCTTGGTGCCATATTGTACCAAGTTTTTATGCGTTTGAATAAATAAACTATTACTACTACTAGTTTTGGGGAATAATCTTGTTTTGTATCACAGAGATTAATATGCATTTTTCAAAACTGACTATTACCATTCATTATACTTATCCTGGCAGCGACACCAAGTGGGTCAGTCGCACAGCGGTTGAGACGTTCACCGACCATGCACATAGACCAGGTTCGATCCTCAGCCGTTTCAGTAGTGCTGGTAAAGAGCAAAGGTTGGGCATGAGGCTAGCAACCCCATCCTGTAAAAATAAACACTGCTACAGAAACTTCAAGCCACTAGTTTGAAGTCCTATATTCCACTGGGAATGTGAAGGAAAAAAGATACTGAAGTTCATTTTTTGTTTAACCCATTCACATGTAGATCTGAACTAATTATTCCTCCATTTTTATACCTCAATGTACTTCTGAATGTTAAATCTGATAAATGATAATTCACTTAGTTTATTCCTATTACTGTGTAAAGTGGGTATTAGACAGACGTGATGACCGACCACTACGGTGGATCAGCGGTAAAACGTTCTCTAACCACGCCTAATGTAGTCCAGGGTTTGATTTGCGGCTGGCTCACTTCTAGACGTCGCTAAGCCGATCTAAAGGGGTAAGGTTGGGCATGAGACCTATCAACCCCCTACCCCGTAGAACACACCCACTGCTATGGAAACTTCAAAGCTCAAGCTTGAAGCCCGATGTTCCACTCGGAACGTAAAGAAACAATATAATAATAAATAACAATGTAAGATGGATAATGTGTTATGGTTGTAGGAATTATTCTCTATTTATTACATAACATATTACATTCTCTTCTTTTTGTTTCCCTCTCTCTCTCTCTCTCTAGATCTTCATGAATTAATTACTAATTCTCCTATTGATATCATCAATCAAACGGTTTTGTAAAGAAGAACAAACTACTATTCACTTGTTTTGTTAAACTTGTTAAAACAATACAGTTGTTTATTCCTTTTGTCGTGCGAGTGAATATGGCATATCTCATATCCATCGCATGTGTACTTCCCTGCATTAATAAAATGTTGTGTTATGATTTATTTTTTAAATTATATATACATATATATATTTATACATTCATTCAGTGTCTTCGAGTTTATTTATTTATTCATCTATCTATTTATCTATATACTGGTTCGAATGGAATAATAACCAGTTTAGAGGATTATTTCTTTTTTGTTGTTGCTTGTATACCGATAAGAATCTGATATCTGTTTAAAATGCCCTGTGCCATTAATTATTTACCAATTTTCAGGGTATATTCTTATGTCATTTGTACAAAAAGAAAGACATTGAGGTAGGTTGAATACAAAGTCTTAAAGGTCTTTGTATTTTGTAGAGAAAAAAAAACAATACTTTATGAAAATATTACTACTGTGGTGTATCCTACTGACAAGACTTATCAGTAGTGCATATAAAGGCGTTCATTGGCATAAAAATATCAGATAGTGGAGAGATAGACTTAAAATCCGAGAGAGCAAATAGTTCAACGTGGGAGACATGGAAAGTAGACAAAGAAGCACAATACGAAGGGTAGAAATAAAACAACATGGGGGAAGATCTGTACAAATAACAATTAGGAGATAATGTGTACATAATTCCGCTGTACATAGATACCAAAATCCAAATAAACATTCATTTACTAAGTTTCTAGTCTTCTGCCGTTGAAATTGGTGTTGTTGCCTCCAGATAACAATAACAATTTCGCTTTATTCCAGAAACAGTACTTGTGGTACAGTGTGGAATTTTCAGCACATTTCTACAATATTGCATCTAATTTCATGGTACATTTAAAAGGAATATTATAAAAAAAATAAAATATATAAAAAAACCAAAAAAAAGAAACACAGAAATAACAAAAAAATGCAAATAAAAATACCAAGTTAAAAGGAAGATAAACACAAATAATGAAAAAATATTTCAGTATTGGTTAGTGGAAGCTACGATATGTGTATGCGTGGTGAACAGTAACAGCTATAATCATACAGGAAATTATGAGATGTTCTTAAAAATGTTTATAGCCAAGATGATCAGTTAATTTGATTGAACAACACTAAGCAATCATAAGATAAACATTCCAGGTTTTTTTATTGTCAGCACTAATGCAGTGTTTGTAGTGGTAGTGTGAGGAATCATGCATAATACAAAAATTTTTTTTTGAGATGGTGATAGTGGCGTTAACAAACAAGATTGTCAGTTAAATAGTGCCGAACAAAGAACAACCACAAAACTAATATTACATGATGGTTAGTGACGGGACAATTTTTTAATAATCATAGTGATAATATAGTCGGACCCAGTAGATGTACAAAAGAAGGAATAGAATAAAGAATAAAAATGTAAGCCAATGATAATAATTTTAAGCAGCTAAGTGTGTTTAAGAAGGTTGTTCACTATAGAGTACAAATAAGAGAGTGTAAGGGGGAAATAACAAGGGCCAAAATTATGTTATTAACAACAAAGCAAGTCATAGGTAGTAAAGATAGTAAAGATTCCCTGCCCACCTGCTTTCAAGGAAGGATATATCAGGTGCTTCTTGCGAAACTTTGATGCCATCGTTGAGTTGGTAGGTATCAGGGGTTTTGACGGTGAAGGCGGTATACTACAGTGTACAGTGATCAGGAGAGAAAGAGACATAGAAGGTTTTGGTTGAACAACAGTTGGCAGAGTTCTACGGGCAGGCAACTGATGATACAGCAGTTCCGTGCCGTGAACCTAGGACCGGACGGAGATTCGGTATTGTTGGCTTGGGAGCTGACGAATCTACTTCATCAAATCTATCTCTCCCCTATTTGATATTTGTATGCTGATGAAAGCCACTTTATATCCTACTGATAAATCTCATCACCAGCACACGCCTCAACTTGTTTTGAATAAATGCAATCACTAGCTGGTTAATACTAATTAAACAGGCTCTTCATCTTTCATCGGATTTCTCTTTTTGATAGCTGCGAGTTTTTTATCTGGTAAAACTGTTAAGCATGTTGGTCAGAACACGAAAAAGCAACCGTAACAATAAGGCTAATAAGTGTTTAGGTTGTGTTTTTTTTACATTGAAATGTCTAAAATTATAGCCATATTTAAATGGAGAGAAGACCACTAGTTCAACGAAGGGTCTCTTTTGATTTCCACAGCTGTACAATCGTATATATATATATATATATATATATATATATGGTTATTTTATGTATGTCTACATAAAATTTGTCAAACGAAAATACAATTAGTAAGTTTTTGGTGGAGTTACGTAACACAAAAATTGTTCAGGGGAATTGAGTGTGGATACAAGAGGGTAGTAACAAAACTGATGAGTAATCACCAACGTTTGTTAAAGAAGAGGTATGTAATAACATGGATAGTTTGATGAAAGACCCATGTATTCCTTTAAAACTCTTACTTAATTCCATATTTTACTTTGTTTCCATGTACACCCTGACCACAACTCTTTCATCAAACTATTCATATTATTACGTAACTCTTCTCTAACAATCATTGGCGATTACTCATCACTCTTGTTACTACCCTCTTGTATCCACACTCAATTCCTCTGAACAGTTTTTTGTGTTACGTAACTCCACCAAAAACTTACTAATTGTATTTTTGTTTGACAAATTTTATGTAGACATATATAAAATAACCATATATATATATATATATATATATATATATAATATATATATATATATACGATTGTACAGCTGTGGAAATGAATTCACCGAAAAGAGACTCATCGTTGAACTACTAGTCTTCTCTCCATTAATGTTGGAATGGGGAGTTTTTATAAATGAAAAAAAGCATTGAATGATCCGAATCAAAGTAAGAAGGTCTAAACACTTTTAGTTTAGTTTATTAATTGAAGAAAGCGATAACAACACACAGACATGAAGCAGGCTGATAAAATGGATGTATTTTATTTCATCATTATCTCATTAGCTGTTTACAATGTGAATATTGTTAATCAGTGTTCTTATTATGATTTTTACATACTTAAGTTCATTGGAATCAAAATGCTGAAAAATAAATAAGAATACTCATGGTATGCATAGATGAATCGAACTGTTGAGTTAGTAAAATGTGAAAATATTTCTGTACTTATGTATGTAGTGTGATTAAACTTCCTCGACAAAAAAACAAACAAACAAGAAGTGTGGAGCGAGGTTGGCGGCAAGATATTCAGGTGCATGAACTATGAGATTATGTAAGTCATCAGAAAATTGGTAATGAACAAAGGGACATGAAAAAAGTTTATTTAGTCGGTAATCAGACATATGAAACATAGCGTTTAATAAGTCGTATAACCGAATAAGAGTGGAAAGAAATCAACATTTTCATTGGATAAAAGGTGATCTAATCAAGTGAAGGTTAAGAGGTAAGGTACAGGAAGACTTGCCACAACTTTTCTTAAGGAATTGACAATTCCCACCTGATGTCCTGTGTCACTTCAATGTCTCTTGATTACGCTGTTCAAAGATTCTCTTCCTCTTAGTCGCACACTTTTCAGTAGGCGTTCAGTAAGTACAAAATAGACCGAGAAGTAATTTAAAAACTACTTCAACACTACGGCGTACCTTAAGTCTTTGTCAACCTCATTCAACAGCTGGTTATATGACAGTGCCAAGTACCAGGTGATCCACAACGGAAAACTCAGAGAGGCGTTCAAATTGCGTACAAGAGTAAGACAAGACTGCCTATTATCGCCATGGATGATATTCTTAATTTTGGTGGACTGGATTATGCGTCAGACTGTTGGGATCGAGGAGTAAGGAGTACGCTGGACAACTGATAAGAAGACCTGGATTTCGCGTGTGGGTGATAAATGTGTAATGTCACACAAACTCAAAGACTTGCAAGCGACAACTAACAAACTGACAGAGGAGGCAGGCAGCGAAAACAGGACTGCATGTGAACATGGAGAAGACGGAGGTGATGAAGGTAACCAACCAACAACAACCAGTCACCATCAACGGAGAGATTTAACAGAGACTACTTCCTTCACATAGCCGGCTCGGAAGCATCGTCTCAACTACAGTCCAGCGGGACGAATGAAGATGTCAAAGTCAGTCAGAATCGGAAAGGCGAGATATGCCTTCATCAATCTGAAACCAGTTTAGAAATCTGCTGATGCAGTCCGACTCAGGATAAACCACAAGATTCCGATTTCCAACACCAGTGTTGAATCGGTCCTTCTATACATGTCAGAAATTCGCACTGTGTGTAACGAAAAGGATTTCCAACAGTCTGTTGCATACTTTTATCAACGGCTGCCCCTTCGCTGGCTGGCTGCATACTGAAGATCATATAGCCAGCCGGCTCACAAGCTGGAATTAACAAGAATAAGCAACTCTTGTTGGGAACGAACCAAAAGGTGAGAGCTGATCGCTCAACAGATATGTAGGAGTAAGTGGAGATGGATCGGGAATACATTGACGAGGCCTTCGAATGGCATCGCGCGCACTGCAGGTCATTACTCTAGTGGAATCCAAATGGGAAGCGACGGGTGGGTCATCTAGGCATGGGTGAGAAAGAGATGAGAGAGTTTGGTCGATTGTGGCCCTAGCCAGTTGGAAAGCATGTAGCAAACAGAAGAAAGCGGAGATGTGTTGTCGAAGCGGTATGTTCCACTCGGAATGCAAGGAAGTAATAATACTACCAAAAGAGACCCTTAACATTCACGATTGGCAATAACAAAAGAAGGGTATCTGTCAAAAGTTTGACTGAACTAACGAGCATGTTGTTTGGTACATGGGAATCAGTCTAGTTTCAGGGATTTCTCAGTCAGTGATGTCTTTAGTCTTCCGTAGGGCTGTTGAGGTATCTATTTCTTGTTATATACTCCTAAGTCATGTTTTATATTCTGATGAAATACTATTTTTAGGTCAGTGTGTCAAAGCATTGTGACACCTGGAGGTCCACATTGGTTAGGACTCTCGCCGACCATGCACATGGTCCGGGGCTCGAGCCCGCACAGACGCACACCTGATATCTATGGTCGGCCTGCAAAATGTGGGCTACCGATATCCACGCTGAAAATTCCATACTTGTACCGAAAATACAGTGTGGAATCAAGCTGTAAATCAAAAAAAAAATCCTGATTTCGGTTTTCTTCATATT